ATTTGACGTACATGGATCTGGTTGGTGCTCTTGTAATTCCCTTTTGGATAATGTCGTAATATTCTGCCGCTTGTGATATTATGCTGTAAAGATTTGGAGTTTTCGCTCTGTTTTCAAAAATATTTTTATTGCGGCAGTTCCATATATGCCACAAGGCATAGGGCCAGAGTAGCTTAGCAGGAAGGTTGTGTGGCATTGAACGAGGAGTATGGAGGAGAGTTTTTATGTCATTTGACCCCAATAATTGAATTACATTGGTGAGGCCCAAGTGATGCCAAAGTTGTTGTGTATTAGGACAAATGAAGAGTAGGTGGTTAATGGTTTCATCCTCTTGGTTACAAACTGGGCAAATTGTGGATGTAGCAATAAGCAATTGTTTTTTTATATAGATAGGCAGCAGTTGGTAGGTCGTTCTGCCCAATTAACCAAAGAAAGTATCTATATTTTGATGGTAAGTTTAAGGCCCATATCCACTTAAAATTGTTACAAAGTTGTGTGTTTTGAAGTTTGTAGTAAAGAGATTTCACAGTAAATTGTCCGTTTGGAGTTAGGCTCCAAATAATTTGGTCATAAGCTTGTTTATTTTTTAATAAAGGTATATATATTTTGCGCATACTTGCAAGTGTTATCCCTTGAATTTCAGTGATAGAAAATGTTTACCGAAATTTTTCAGTTGCCACCAACAATGCCTTAAAATCTTTAAACCATTCCCTTCTTTATGAATGATCTGAGAATCCTAAAAATAATTGATACATAAGATGTAAGCTAATTCACTTTTCGCGATTGGATTTTCCCTAATCAACATTCTAGTATAGTAATGTGAAAACAATGACTCGAGAAAAAGATTTAGAAAATTGCACCAAGCAACCAAAAATCCCAAGTATTATAAACAAGAAACAAAACTTCAAAAAGCAAGATCAATTTGTAGCTACACAAGTCGGATAAGAACAAAGGTACAAACCAATAGCAACATAGGTTCAATCACATTATCACTTTCTGCTAAAATTTGTCATGATTTCACCTGGGAACCAAATAGGAAAAAAATGTAAATAAATAAGCTTTAACGTGGATACAGGTACAAACAATCCATTACTTGGCATTCACCAATTGCAAGCAGAAAATGACAGTTTCTCCTAGTCCAACCTCACCCAACTGGTGGATTGGGTTTGACCAGCCTCACGGGCCGACCCATGTTTACGGCTCTACTTTACTAAATCAACAACAAACTCAGTATAATCCCACAAAGTTAAGATCTAGAGAGGGTAGCATAAACGCACACCTTACCCTACTTTGTGAAAGTAGAGAAATTATTTTCGATAGATCCTCGGCTCAAGGAAAGATGAAAAGGAAGCTCTACCTAAATAAATTGACGAAAGAAAATGTGCTCAGAGACCAAGTCAAACACCATTCTGATAAGCTGATTGGAACATTCAACTTCAACAGCTTAGATGGGAACTACTTTATGCAAAAGAAAGATCAAGACAATTCACGGGCGTATTCCAACTTTTTGGCTAATAATTGGAGTTGAACGTTTGGAGGGGAAAAACAAATAGTATTCAGAATGACTGGACTTTCCATATATACAGCAACAAATTTCTGCAAATATAGTAGCATCAGAAATTATCCATATGACATAGCCATGAAAAAAGAACGTGAAGTCGCCAGGATATGAACGGACATGCAGCAGAGCTCACCTTATTTACAGGTTACAGAGCTCCTGAAGCAGTCATATGGTTAGTTTGTACAAAATGAATATAAGTAAACCACTACCAAGGAATTCCTCACTTTTCTAAAGAAATCAACTCCTGAGTAATGAGATAAGTCTCCCCCAGATATCGAGAACAACTAAAGCAAACACCGCTACTCTACATAACTCGCCCCCTCCCAGGTTACCCTAGGGAAAAATTAAAACAAAATAAATGAGAAAAATCAAGAGCTTGCTTTACACATGCAATGCAGCACATAGAGATCTTGTTGTTGCTTACATCTGCATAAAACTTTTTAGCACTGCACCAGAGAAGCTGTAGTACAATAATCATCTCGCCAATTTTACTGGTAGTACTATGTCAACAAAAGCAACTGAACATCACTGCTCTAAGATATCACCAAATCCCCAAGGAGGAAAATTGATTATGTAGCATGGGCACCATGTGTTCTTGAAGCCCATATACCGAACACAAGAAACCAGAAGACAAATAGGATAGCCCAGTATCGAGCAGGGCCATATTTGATTCTTGTTAACACAAACTGCATTTGACGGGAAAAAGTTAGAATGCTTCTACAAATTTCGTATCTGATAACAAGAGAAAAGCATGAAAAGAGAGTTAGTGTTGACTGGAAGTGAAATGAAAATCCTTGAAGCTGAGATATAACTAAAATTTCATCCTAACAAGCTGGTGAAGTAGATAATACACTGAACTGTGATAGTAGTTGTAAAACAAAATATGTGATTAGCTATGTTGCGCGGGCTCTCTAAGAACGATGCCGCACCCATGTTGGATCCTCCAAAAATGCGCTACTTTTGGAGGATCTGGCACACACCCAGTGACATTTTTGGACAGTCCCAGGCTCCCAGCAACATAGGTGACTAGAAAAAGGAAGCCACTGATTTGAGAATCTCACTCTCCTTTCTGTATTAACAGTTCTTTTTGATCTTTTCTAATTATCCATGTATTGTACACATGCATGTCTGGAGACGCATTAATTCAAAGTTCACTCCCCTTGCCACTTATTTAATCCCACTCTCCTTGCTGCATTAACAATTCTCTTTGACCTTTTCTAATTATCCATGTATTATATCCTTCTCAAAAAATTACCCATGTATTGTACACATGACATCAAAGGTTTGACAAACAAAATATTAGCATTTCTGTAGGAGCATAATTCACATAACACGACATATTAGCTGAATAATAACAGTTCAAGAAACAAATCAAACAAAATTGTTTGTTTAATCCGCCAGGCAAAAGCATCACTCATAACAACAACAACAACAAACCCAGTATGTTTCCAACAGGTGGGGTCTGGGGAGGGTAGACTGTACGCAGACTCTACCCCTACCTAATGGGTAGAGAGCATGTTTCCAATAGACCCTCGGCTCAGGAAGGGTAAGAAGAAGAAGAGGAAAGCAAGGAAGGAAGAAAGAAGGAAGAGAAAAGAAAAAGGGAGAGATAAAGGATACGTAGTACCAAATAATAGCATCAGGGAATACAATACCTGAGGCGAACAAAACCACATAACGTAATAAAAATCTAAGAATATGAAGAGACATGCGTGCTACTAAGACTATCGGTGAACAACTAAAAACTACCCACTAACCTTCTACCTTAATCCTCTACCTTCACCCCCTCCTATCAAGGGTCATGTCCTCAGTGAGCTGAAGCAGCGCCATGTCCCGACTCCTGTCTAATCACCTCTCCCCAGTACTTCTTAGGCCTACCTCGACCTCTTCTCAAACTCTCCATGGCCAATCTCTCACACTTCCTAACAAGAGCATCAATGCTTCTTCTCTTAACATGTCCGAACCATCTCAGCCTCGACTCCCGCATCTTGTCCTCCACGGAGGCTACTCCCACTCTGTCCCGGATAGCTTCATTCTTAATCTTATCTCTCCTGGTACACCCACACATCCATCTAAACATCCTCATCTCTGCTACTTTCATCTTCTGCACGTGGGAGTTCTTGACTGGCCAACACTCAGCCCCATACAGCATAGCCGGTCGAACCACCACTCTATAAAACTTACCCTTAAGTCTTGGCGGCACATTCTTGTCACATAAAACACCGGAAGCGAGCCTCCACTTCATCCATCCCGCTCCGATGCGATGTGCGACATCTTCGTCAATCTCCCCGTTACCTTGGATAATAGACCCGAGATACTTAAAATTCGCTCTCTTGGGGATAACTTGAGCATCAAGCTTTACCTCTACGTCTATTGCATGGGTCCCGTCACTGAATTTGCACTCCAAGTATTCTGTCTTGGTTCTACTCAGTTTGAAACCTTTAGACTCCAAGGTCTGTCTCCAAACCTCCAAAAGCATCACTCATAAATGAAATACAATTTGTTAACATGACCACTAGAAACTAGTAACTCTGTTGTCCAAATCTATATCATCTTATTTTGATGTTTAATAACACAGTAACATTTGGTTTAAGTTGCTAATATGGCATGCAAGATGCAATGAAAAGAATTTGAAGAAACTTACAAATCGGAAGAATACTACAACTGTTAACGCACAAACACCTCCAAGAAGAATATGCAGTCCATTTTTGGCAGTTTTCTAAACAAAAGAAAGAACTAGTTAGATCAAGCAAATAATAGCAAGTAGGAAAACTTCTTTAAAGTAGCAATTAGTATCTCAATAGTGCATAAGCTACCACCACAAAATGATAAACTAGTCAAGTTCGCTAGTAATGTACGGAATAAGTGCCGACTTGAATATTTCTATATATCCTAATAATGATAGTGTTGGTCAGGTTGCGCACACTTCGACTAATTGACCAGGTACCTGAAATGTTCCACCAGTATCCAGTTACTTTACCCACTAAGGATTATACATAGGAAAGAGTTCTCACCAACTCTCGCCTCAGCTGAGATTAGAACCTTGATTCTCAAAATTGTTATCCAACTCTTAATTACTTCAATTTCCCAAAATTGTAGGATTAACTTTTATGCTAATTTTTTTTCAATTGTAAAGCATGATAAATAGAGTAACATTGTCCCTTTGTTTTTTATTATTGCTGATAGCAAAATATTTTCATCAGTTGTTTTCTCACTTCCCATGTTGGTCCGTCCTTTTGGGAAAACCATTTACCCTTGTTCTAAATTGCTGGGACTCTTCACTATTGGTGCCGCACACATATCAACAGGGCGTGGGTGTTGGAGTGGGTGTGGGTGTGGGATCTGTAACTTAACTGACTAGGCATTATGATTATTTTCTTGGCGAGCAGTCAACATCTCTCTTTCAAAAAGTTCTATAGCTTTATTTGTCTTATCTTACTTGTTAATCGTTATCATAAGTTTGGCAATGTTAATATTGGTGTTTTGATCCTGAAAGGACATGCTGCCATAAATATATCAGGCAAAAAACAATTCACCAATGTGGTCTTAGATTCCTAAAATTATGCGTAGTACCACTTTACAGACCAAGCCAGAAACCCCAATGAAGACCAAGAAGTTTCTTTTGGGTCCAATCCAATGGTTTGAGACTGAAAGGATGAAACTTCAGAAATCTATTTTTGAAGGTTACCATGAAGCTTTTACCAAAAATAAAATAAATAAAATCGAATATAATACAATATGAAAGAACCCACAAGAAACTAGTAAATATTGACAGCACCAGCAGAGAAGCAAGTTCGAGTACCTTCCCAACATGAGGAGCAATAAGCCATGCAAGAGTGATAGTAAGAAGCCCTGTAGCGAGCAGGATCCCAGTACCCTCAACAGCCCATTTGGTTACAGTGTTTTCTGCAGGAAGAGCTTCTTCTGGAACAATGTTAGAACCAGAAGCCGGCTCACTAACAACCTGGGAAACTNGAACCAGAAGGCGGCTCACTAACAACCTGGGAAACTGCAGTGGAATAGTGGTTATGGGGGTTGAACCACAGTGCAATTTCACTTAACCTTTGCCTTCGAATAGCTGCAATAGCATCAGGATCTACAGTTGAATTTTCCAGCGCCTGTGCAGGATTAGGCTCCCCATTTGCAGTCCTTTCCCTCAATGCATCATACTCCTTCAAAGAGCTCACAACTTTCTTGAAATCCAAAATTCTAATGTTTTTGGCAACACATCCACAAATCTCACATATGGTGGATCCATGGTTAATAAACCACTTAAGCGCACAAGCATAGTGTACCATAGCAAGATCATTTTTGCACGCACAGCCAAGCTCGTTCAAAGTGTCCTGGTTCTCATCATAACCCATCTCTATATCACCATTACAAACAAAAACCTCCCCTTTTGGACTAATGAATTCAACTAGTCCAGATCCTTTCGCGCTACTTCTGTTGAAGGAAACATTTTCGTCATTTTTCACCACTTCATGGCAATCAAGCCTCACCTCTCCATTGCTACTGTATGCATCCGGTGCTGGTGGAATAATTCCTAGAAATCCTAATGCAGCAACTCCCCTCTTGTCTGATTCAGAACACTGGCACACTCGACAAGAAGGAAAGCCTGCTTCCTTATCCAGACTGTGACATGATATAGAAGAATTCCTTGATTCTTCATTCTCAAAAGATGAACCAACTTCATGACTGGTTTCACTGCTTTGGGGTAACCGTTGGTTTTCCATCACATCAGGATTTGTGCGCCTGGGATAATTATTCAGATTTTTCTTAATCACAACATGAGGTAATCATATGCATACACCAACTTCTCCACCAACATTTCAGTTAAATAGGATGCAGTGATTCCATTCCACGCAGAGTGTGAACTTCCTTTGACAGAAACGGTCAGCAAAGTTTGTTAAAAGATAGAAAACTCTCAGATGCTTTATCAGACGTATGACACTAGATCCTGAATGAAATCATGCCTCGTCCATTGAAAACCTATAACAATATTTATTGAACACTAAACAGCCTTTCATGTAGAAAACAACAAAAATTAAGCTCTAAAATTTTAAGAGCTATAGAATCTACACATTCTTTTAACAAGATTCGAATGATAGGGTTTTACATGATTAATGAGTCATTTCTATATAAGAACAATGGAAGAGAATGCAAAAGAACAAAAGAGGAAAAGAAAAGGTTTGTGTTAACCTGGAAATTTGAATCATATAGGTTATCCTAAATAGGCCAAGAATTCAGTTTTTATTGGAAAAGTTGTGAACATGGTTCAAGTAATGATATTGAAACCAGCATAGAATTTTCTCAAATCAATTACTAGACAAGTTCATTTCTAAATAATTGCCTTAAGCCATAGACAAAATGGAGAGTGCCATTCATAATCTTTATCCACCTATTTCTTTTGTAATGCCATTTTTAAAAGAGACTATTAACAGTCATAAGCACTTCTTGCTGTTGTTGCATCAGTGCATAAAAATGCTACTGAATACAGAACCAAACTGAGGCAAAAAACTCTTCTTCTTTTTTTTTTTAAAAGGTAAAACTGAGGAAAGACTTATAGAGGAAGTAGATAAAGTACTAGGAAAAGCGAAACAAGAGAAAAACTTAAGCTTGAATTGCATTGTGCCAAATATACAGAGGTTAATAAAATATAGAGAAACACTAAAGTTGATATTAGAGTTTGATAATCGAACAGCCACAACTTCGTTAAAGGGGGTAATTATCACAGTACTAAAAGTTATGGAGGATTATCCTTACGCCTGTAATAAATTTCAGACTACTGGTGATAACTACCCTGGTGTCTTCCCAAGGAGCCGAGGGTCTATCGGAAACAGCCTCTCTACTCCAGGGTAGGGGTAAGGTCTGCGTACACACTACCCTCCCCAGACCCCACTAGTGGGATTATACTGGGTTATTGTTGTTGTTGTTGTGTTCTGATTCAGATTACTGTCTCCTTTTTTTTTGGTCTCCTAGTCGGTGTCCAGTACCCACTTTAGGGTCCGACTAGTCCAAATTCGAGCCGCAAAGTCCCGCTTTAGGGGTAAAGAGCTCCCTACCAAAGCAATCCCATTCCCAAGGGTCCAACCCGAGACCTGTGGTTAAGGATGGAGCGATACTTAGAACCCCCACTACAACCTTTGGTGGTCTGATTACTGTCTCAAAACTCCTAACTTTGTGAAATTGCCTTGGTTTTCCACTACACACCATTCCACTTTGTAGCACATTATCGCTTTTTTCAAATTGAAGTCTTTAATATATTATTCAACTTCTAACTTTTAGCAACTTAAGCTGAATGTGAACAGATAAACTAGACTCCTTTATTTTGTAAATAGCAAAGCAAACAAAACAAGTGTGGCGCAGTATTGTGCAATCTATAACCTTAATTACTTATTAATTCAGTGAATTTAGTTGCATAATACCTATCGAAGAATCCGTATCATAGGACTGTGAACTCAAGCTAAATTTCAGAAGATATAAACAAAAAGAAAGACCAAGAAGCAATTTCAGTTTTGTATAGCAACTATTGACAGTGTACATATCTGCAATCAAAGATTATGCAAGCAAAAATCAACTAAAAATGAACAGAGCAAAAAATTCAATCACTTCAAACCCCAAACTGAAAATCTCTAAAACAACAGCTTAGACATCACTTAACCAAAAAAAGCAAAAGAAACCCACCGAAAATTCTAACGACTTTGCCTTAGAAAAGAGCACAAAAGCACCTTCATTTCTCCAATTTGATATGGAATTTGCGGTGGAATTTTGTGGAAGAAGAGATACCAATTTCACAAGTATAAGTAATTACTGTGTTTTACAGATGGGAGATCTAACCCTTTTTCTCACTTGCCCCCCGCGCGCACGCAAACACGCTCTCTTTCTTTTTCTTTTTTTCTTTTCTTTCTCATAAAATATATTCTTAAACTAAGTAATATGTAAAATTGAAAAAAAAAATAAAAAAAATAAGCACCTTACAATATATAATTATTCTAGACAGGATTGGCCCGGGCCCAACACTTTGGATTATAGCGTGTTTCATTTCGATAAATACTATCTGATAGCGTAAAGAGTATCATTGTAACTCTTCCTTAAAAAGTATTGCTATGTGATGAACAAGAATCACTTGTAAGATCTGTTAGCATTTCCCAAGCTGAGATAAAACTAACATCTAATGTTTTTTGCCACATAAGTGTGATGAGACAGTGTAAGCACGAGCCCAACATTTATATTTTGAAATACTTTAATTTTTAGTATTTTGTATAATTATTTGGTGATAAGAATACAATATGGTCCAATATATATATATATATGTATATATATATATATATATATATATATGCCACATAAGTCTGATGAGACAGTGCAAGCACGAGTCCAACATTTATATTTTGAAATACTTTAATAATTATTTGGTGATAAAGAATACAATACGGTCTAATATATATATGCCACATAAATCTGATGAGACAGTGCAAGCACGAGCCCAACATTTACATTTTGAAATACTTTAATTTTTAGTATTTTGAATAATTATTAGGTGATAAAGAATACAATAAAAGAACACAATGAAGCTATACAAGTTGTTTCTAGCTACATAAGCAAAACAAGCAACCACTTCATTGTAAGTAGGTAAATGGTGCAATTACTTTCATTCTTCCTACTCCAAACCTGATTCCTAAAAGAAAAAAGGTAGCAAAATTATTCAATTTCATCATAATTTCTTATTTCATTGCTATCTTTAAGTGTACTCACAAGATGTTATTTAAAACTTAATTCAACCATAACCTTATCTTACATGTTACGACAAGAGAAGGCCTAATTAGTTCAAAACTAACATATATTTATTGTTTATAGTCAAATGAAATACCAATTAAGTTGAATTGTACATTAGGCAACATCTAAGCATATAGGTTCTTGAATTACATAATCAAAAAAAATTCTAATTAAAGTTTGACTATTTATAAAAAGTTTCAGGAAAGCTATTTTAAAAGAAAAGAGCTCTTTAAAGATACCCTTTTAAATAATAAAAAAAGAGACTTTTTAGAAACAGGAGCAAAATTTGTTAAATCTATGGCAAACCAAAATTAAAATGAATGAGACAAGCAAAAGAATATTCTGATATTCAGAAAATATAAAAATATCAATCCTTTTAACCCTTGTCCCAATCTATGTACCATTACTAATATTTAGAAACAATCGAGCGGATGCTACTTTAACTATATTTTTTTTCCAGATTTCTTTAAAAAATATGTAACTGTAAAAAGTTGTGATTATAATGTGCTCCTTTTGCAGTCTCTGAATGTTTAAGCTTCAGTTCAAAACTCTGAATGTAATTGTGCTGTAATTTCCCACCATACATTTGTAGGGCAGTAACTAATTATCTATCCCAAAATTTAGTTAATTTCAAAGTTGTTATTTCAAATTATCTTACATGGATTTCTGCTATGGCCTTCCCTGAGTTTCTTGATATCTATTGGGGTTCTTGTACATCACTATAATCAAGTAATAGGAAGGGTTGTTTTGTTTGCAATCAAGAGATTGCAATTTGGTGTATAATAATTACAAGATTAATTAAATCACTATCATAAGATTGGTTTATCGTATTAACATTAGAATACACGATCATAGAAAAATTTTAATGATATATTTGGCCTATGTAACAACTCTTTATCCAATACAATATTGAGAATTTTTGTATGCTATGTGATTAGAATAGTTAGTTAAGTATAACTAAAATCAAAATTGAATTTAAATTATTTCAAATAAATTAGAACACCTTTAAGATGGCTATTGAAATAATGCACAACGAATATGATGTAAATGAACAAATACATCTGTCATTCATCTTATAAACATGAAAAGTTTAATTTAAACACTTTGTTATAATATTAAAGTCATACTAAAATACTATTACTATTCCTAAAAATAAATAGTTAGTAATTTTATAGCGTTAGATATATTTGTTTGAAGACGGGTTCACGTATTTTTAAACGGGTCTAGAAAAATTTGAAGGTCCTTTGATTTTCGATTTTGTTTGCTGTTGTGATTGTTAACTATCTGCTGACATCAATACATTTTACACATTTTCAAGCTTTTAGGATATTTTTTTTATTTTGGTTAACTGGCTATATATA